GTCTATGAAGGCTGAAGATGTATTAGAAATGGCAAAAAAAAGTGTGGATAATGAGAACCAAGGGGACAGAGTATGGGAAATATCACTGATGTGAGTGGTGAAATTCTCATAGGTAATTGTAGGTCAGGGGTCTACCGGAAGTGAAGAAGATTGTAAGCCTGCCAATGAAAGTGTGGAAGGATGGAGCGAGGGACTCGAAGGTCAGTAGAGAGTGGTAATACAAGCCACGAGGGGTTGTGGATACGGGCTGCTGGGTTTTAAAGAGAGAAGACGATCCACCAAACCCAGAACACTTAACCGTATAAAATTGCATTGAGAAAAGAATTAGCAATAGACACCTGGAACACAAAACCAAAAAAAAAGAAGCTACTAATACCAGCAAAAATAGTCATACTAATCAAAGAAGCAAAATAGTATGCAAACTGGCTCAGCAAGAAATAATATTTTCATGGCAATAGTAATACAAACAGTGCATACTAATTTAGCCAAAAATGGGGATTTACAGAATTAAATTCTATATACCAGAATTATCGAGTGATACTATACAACATCCATAAATCAAGAAATAGCAGCATAAGTATGTGCATACTATTTAGCTATGTGGATGTAAACAGCAGAAAAAAAAAAGCTAAGAGTTGGAAATCACTCCCTCTGAAGAGGCTTGGAACAGGGAATTCCTATTTCTCATATACCTTTTGGTATTTGACCTTTTTAGCTCTATACATGCATACTTTTAATTCATAAAAATAAAAACTAATTTTTAAAGAGCTAATACATAATAATTCTTGTTTGCCACAAAACAAGAGTTCAAAAGGGCACCGGGGCAGGAGGGAGTGGGAAAGAAATAAGGGCGGTGTTGGGAAATCACGGGCCCAAAAAAGATATGAATTCAATTCTTGGAAGGATGAGCAGGGGGCAGAGGTCGGTACAAAAGGCACTCATTTGCAGTAATTGGGGTGAAGAAAGCAATAAATACAGAGAGGGACATGAGCCACGTGTTAACAAGTAAGGGAATAGGCGGAACTGCTGAGTTTATTGAGTTAAGCAGCCCAGAGATTCCACCATTAGTGAAGGACTTATGTTAAATAAATTTCGTGGCAAGCTTCCTGGATACTTGCCAGAAAAAACAGTTGACGCCGAGCACTGTGCTGTCTTGATGTCGACAACAATGGAATTTCCAAATGAAAAAGCATCGCAAGTTGGAGTATTTTCGTTAGGCAATAGCACTATCCAAGTAAGCAAGGCTGTTCTCTTTAAATCTTCCCGTGACTCCCAAAGGTCTCGTGGAAGCCTCAAGCCAAGTGGAAAAGAGTTGCACATACGATAGACATCATTATTTGTCTTTCTTGTAAACCCTGCCTGTATGACAATTTGTCAAATCAGTTCAGCTGAGGTTTTGCTGCCTTATTATTGCCACCCCAGTTATACTTTAACTCTCAACACAAACTACAAATGGGCCAACCTTTAGTTTTAAAAGAGCCTAACTTAATTCTGCTCTATTACTCTTTAAAGAGACTCTTCCGCTGCGTGGAAGAGACATGTAAACACCAAGGCGCCTAGGTGGGAGAACTCACTTGCTACCGGCCTTTGTCCACGGGATCTGCACAGCCAGGCGGCTCCATCTCCACTCTGACAGAGAACGGTCCCAATGCCATGAAACTCACACATGGGGAATTATGAACTCTAAGCTTCACAGGGCACTGTTCTATTTTCAGCCGTACTTCAACTTTACCATCAAAAAATACTGGAAAAACTGGAAAAATCGATACAAAAAGCCTCCAGCATTTAAAAGATCTCAAACTGAAGTACGAATAAGAAAGCAGAAAATAATTTAATAGTTACCCAACTCTACCGTTTTTGAAGTATACACTACCTGGTCTGGTCAAATATATTATTAGTTGTACTGACCTAATGCAAGAATATAGCATCGCCTTTGCCACTGGACAAGATTCTTAATCTGATGTTATTATTTTTTTAAAAGATTTTATTTATTTATTTATTTTTAGAGAGAGGGGAAGGGAAGCAGAGAGGGAGAGTAACATCCATGTGTGGTTACCTCTCGAGCGCCCCCTTCTGGGGACCTGGTTCACAACCCAGGCCTCTGTCCTGACTGGGAATCAAACCAGCGACCCTTTGGTTCGCAGAACGGTGCTCAGTCCACTGAGCCACATGAACCAGGGCTCTTAATCCTATGATATTATTCCTATGTCTGATAATTGTCCCTCACTCCTTTCCTACTGTTATTATTCTAGTTTAAGTTTTACACTTAGACTACTGAAATAGCTCCTACTAATCTCTCTGTAAATCCTTCTCTATGGTATTTTTCATGTTGTGAACTTTATACTTTATGAAGCACTTTCAACATACATCTTCACTGAGTCTTTACATCAATCCTGTGACGTACACATGACTGCAAACATTTTATGGATGAGGGTGTTTCTGAGAAATTTAGTATTTAAGAACACACAGCTTGCAAGGGACAGAACTGGAAACAGAATCCAGGTTCCTGCCCTGAAGCTGGTCCACTTTCTGTTATATCGCCAATATGTCCCCACTAGTGGACTCTTAAACTAGTGCTCTATTTATATTTACACCACTGATCAAGGACTCTCCACATTAGTGACTCAACTCAATCAGCTCTAAAGTTCAGCTACCTATGTAGACCCTTGGCTCCACCACATACTAGCTGTGCAAGGCCTTGCAAGTAACTTAACCTCTCTAACTTTTAGTTTCCTTCTTTTTTTTATTGTTGTTCAATTATAGTTGTCCGCATTTTCTCGCCATTACTCTCCCCCACCCCGCCCCGCCCCCCCCACCCCCCCCATTCAATCTTCCCCCCACTCCCCTGCTTGTCCTTGTCCATGGGTCCTTTATGCATGTTCCTTGACTTAGCCCTTCCCCTTCTTTCCCCCATTCTTCCTGCCCCCTCTGGTCACCGTCAGTTTGTTCCTTATCTCCGCGTCTCTGGTTCTATTTTGCTCATTTGTTTATTTTGTTAATTAGGTTCCCCTTCAGGTCCTTATGGTAGTTTCCTTCTCTGAACACTAAGGGTAACATTGACACCTTCTTCATCTGATCGCTGTGAGAAGAAAATGAATCAATATTCCAGCCTATCTTGTACAAAGCTGCTAGGATTAACCTCCTGAAGCTCACCTATCAGTGTTTTCCTACTTAATAACCTTCACTCACTCTCCATTGCCTACCAAACAAAGGTCAAAATTTTAAACTTAACATTTGGATCTCATAATCTACTACTCCTCATTCTATGTCTTCCTTACAAAGCAAACCACTAACTGAAAACATACTCCTCAAGCCCAAAATGTAAATACCCAAACCTACAACCTTTTTCATGTAATTCCCTCTTTGGATGTCAGCTCTATGGCACACCATAAGACCACATAGAAAAATCTGCTCACTCTTCAAAGTCCAGTTCAATTCCTGCCTCCTCAACAAAGCTTTCCTTGACCTCCCAGCTGAAATTAATTTCTTCTTTCTTCTGTTGCCAAAGTACATTGCCTGTTCCTCTTTTATGACAGACAGTACTTTGCTTTGTATTTTGTTTTATGTGTTTGCCACTTTCCCATTAGACGGTGAACACCTATATGAAATGCGACAATGTTTTTTACCTGCTTCTGTATTGTTGGTAGCACCTTGCATGAAGGTTTAATGTTTCTCAGTGGTAGTTTCTCAATGGTAATTACTACTAAAAACTAATAATTACCATTTGTTAAGTACTTACCAATGGCACTCAACTATGGTAAATACTTAACATACAATATACAATTTATTCTTAGAATAATCTGTAAGAAATGGATGATGACTCTTTATTTTATAATGAGGAAACTGAAGCAAAGTATTAGATTGAACTGTATGATATGGTTGCTATTTGACCAGCTTTGACCCGTAAAATGGCAATTTCAAATGAATTAACCTAATAAGATGCTTTATAATGATTATTATTAATTCATTCAATGTAAGAAATTCAACACCATCTGGACCCTGTCTGACAGTAATTCTAAAGGTCAGTATTTCCATACACGATATTCAGAAAAGATCATTTTAGGCCTTTTTAGATGAGAAAAATGTGGATTTTCACATTATTTGTGACTAAATTATTTTTGACTAATATGGCTAAAATGCATATTTCAGATTCAAAGTCATTAGAACTAATCTCATGTATATTTAATATAAAACAATCAAATTTGTATGCAGACAGGCTCCTTTGTTTATTTTTTCTTATCCTTTTCCTTTTGTGTTTTAGTAAGAGTTGCCTATGAAAGGGTCAATATGAGCAAGTTATTGTTACTGCAAAAACCAAATGATGTTGATTCCCCATTGTTCCAGTTATTATTGTTAGTTTTACGAATATACAAGAGAATCTTTTTTTCCTTTAACACTTGTATAACAGACACTTACAAGGTTCCAAAGTCTTCAGAACAGAAATTAGTCACTGACAATTTTATCCCAAGAGATTACTCCTTAGCAACTAAATTTTAGTTTCTATTTTGTGGATGTAACATACAATAAACTGTATGCATATTCTAACTTGACTTAATATACCATATTTTCAAAGAAGTCATATAGGAAGTAATCGCCAGCCCATGAAGTATGGCCAGTACAATCAGCTTCGATAATATCATTTGCAGTTCATTGTTCATGTAAGCACCACACCTCGTGAAATTATTGAATATTTTTTAAAAACATTGAATGTTGACAGCCATTAGGCCCAATTTAAAACTGAGGATCAGCTAGAAATTAGGTATTCATTCATCAATTCATGATTTCCTTCATAGATTTAAGGTCCTAGTAGACCTGAATTATTTTGTCTTCCGAGAGGAAGGGGAAATTTAGTTTTAAAAATGCTACCATGAAATAAAAAGAGCAGCGCTAGAACTCTTCACTCTATTGAGGACAATTTAATATGGATACTTGTACAATGGAGCGAGAAGGCTTTAAGAGCGCCCTTTCAATTCTGTAAGGTACCAGCCGATCGATCTTACCTGCTCATGTATATGGCTTGATTCCCCGTGGCACAGGTCACTTCCAATGCTTGTGGAGATGGAGTCGCTTCCCGTGAGGGTTTGCATTTGCTGGCTAGAGTGGGACTGTTGGCAGAGGGGAGAGTGGATGACCTGGGGCTGCTGGATAATGTGATGATGGCAGTGGACCTGCGGATGGCACTCCTGAAACACACACGCAGGCGGAAGTGACCGATCAAGAATAACCCAACCGACATTGTCTTTAAAATGTTAATGTATTCTTTCTTTTTTTTTTTAATTAATTAATTTATTTTTCCCACTACATTTGTCTCTGCCCACCCCCCCCAGAATCTATTCTTTCCCAAGGTAATTCAAGCCTTAGGATTTGTAGCGTTACTAAGTGCTCTATGAAGTATTTCTTTTTACTTGCTTTTATGGATTTTCAACTTCTAGTGAGTTTATTAGGGTGACATTGGTTCATAAAGTTATGTAGGTTTAAAGAAGACCATTCTATAATACATCTGTATATTGTGCTGTGTGTTCACTACCCAGAATCAAGTCTCCTTCTATCAAGATATAGCCCCTCTTCACCCTCATCTACCTCCCTCACCCCCCTTTCCCTCTGGCAATCACTGTAGTATTTTTCACCCAGTTCCCCAACCCCCTCTCCTGTGACTGCTGTTCAGTCTGTTCTCTGTATCTATGGGTCTGTTTCTAGTTTGCTTGTTTATTTTGATCAATTTGAAATTATTCCATTGGGAGAAATTTGATTTGTATTTGATCAGGTGGATGTGACCATCCAAGTACTTAACTCAGTTGGCCAGGGATTTGCATGTTCTGATTAAATTAATATTCTACTTACAGTTATCACTAAAACTATCATGAATATTAATATTAAATCATCTTTCTTCAGCATCTAATTGCATAATAATACTATAATATTAAAGTACTAAAGCTGTAGATGAGTATAAAATTAGAAAATAATATAACGTATGATTTTCAATGTCAGGAATCACAGTGGGGGCGGGCAGTTCTTACACTTATGGAAATCAAGCATGTATTAAGAAAAAATATTCAAAAACAGTGACTGAATCTTCAGATCCAGAAACTATGGATTTTAAATCTGACTTTATGACTTACTGTGTGATCTTGGGAAACTGTATATGCAAGCTTTCTCCTTTTAAAAAGTGGAAATAGTATGTGTCACATTGGGTTGCTTTGAGCAGTAAATGAACTGCTCGATGATTATCTTAAAATGACACAACTAATTGGTTGGAAAATTGGAACTGGAACTCCTGATTTCGAGATCACAGTTCTTTCGGAACATTCAGATGAATTTGCACTGTGCTTAGAATATTCTGGTGGGCAGGGCCAGGGAGAACAAGGGGAAAAGTGGGGGCAACTGTAATAGAACAACAACAAAAAATTAAGAAATATATATCCCCAAAGCAACACGAAAACAATATTCTGGAACTTTTTTAAAACTAAACCTTTGCTATCTGCTTGTTCATTTGGCATGGTGTTTTTCTTTTTCCTCATAAGTACAGAGCACGGAATAAGAAGAGATCTCTGATTGCTTCAGTTTGGGGACTTAAAGACATTTTCAAAGAAAAAAAATAATCTCTTTTGGACCATAGTTCCACATTCATGCACATACAATTAGCTGTAAAGGTATCAACTCAATGCTTGATTTCCTTTCACTGTGGAGAGCTGACCTGTATTCATAAAGGAAAACACTTCGATCTCCAATTTTTCATAGGGAACAATTTCAAACTGTGTTACATGGAAGCAGCAAGATGCATAAGAATGAAGGCAGTGTGCTCCCTTTGTATAACATTTTAAAAAATGTACACACATGCATATTTACAAATACATGCGGCAGCTTTTAACTACAACTTTAAGAGTGTGATTGCCTCTGGGAAGTGGAGCTGAGGGACAAAAGGTTCGTGACAGAGAGGCTACTTTTTTTCACCACATACATTTTTATTCTCTTTTTATGCTGTTTGGTAGCTTTTTATACTTTTTATGCTTTGAAATTTGTAACCATGTGTATAAATTATCTTTTCATGTATATAAAAATACTTGAAAGAAAGGAAAACATGCAAAGGAATACATTGTACAAATATAAACTGCCTTGGTTGCCATACAGACAATAAAGATCATAGAATCAGTTGACTGAATCATTTTCTCTAGGCTCTACTAAAATAGAACTTGACAAATATGCCAGCACTAAGACGTCCACAGTTTAGAAGTCCAACTGTATAGTAATCAGGGAGTCTTACACAACTTTGGGGAGTAAATGTATTATCTGTTCTTTTATGTTACAAAACACCTTTCACAGACCGGTGAGAAAACTTTCAGTCAGTGGGGAGCTGAAATAGAATTTCCCATGGAAAATATGATTCTTAAAACAAAAACAGGTTAGGAAACACTCTGAAAGGACACATCAATATAAGACAATAAAGAAAACAAAACCCAGTTCTCGTTCATCTTCGTTTATTAAAGCATCAGTTGCCTCTTGCATAGAATGGTAACAGTCTGTCTCCCTGAGCCTATTTGGCCTCTGACCCACTCATTGGTACCACTGAAGTCTTAGCAGGTTCTCAATTTTCAGTTCTCACACCTGACTACTGAAATGGTTGTTCCAAAGCAGGATATTCACATGTTACTCGTACTTTTGAAGCATACCAAAAACTGAATTTTTGATGTAAGAGGCACCAAACACTTCTGATTTATCATATCTTGTGTTCTTTGAGAGAAAAAAAATACACACAGCACAATTCATAAGAACTGGCTAATATCTTGCAACTGGCACTACGTTACCAGCCTTCCAAGACAAAGACCTTTTTCTTGGGTAGGTCCCATCTCCTAGAGCTAGTCTTATTTGGAATTTACTCTCATGTCACATTAAATAGGTTCCTCCAGGTTCTAGCTTTGTCTGGGTCACCCTACTGTGTTTCTTTTTTTAATTTTTTAAATTTATATTGACTGTTGACACTATTACAGATGTCCCCGTCTCCCCCACCCTTTCCTGCCTCCACCCAACCTCTGCTCCCCTTCCCTGTGGCCTCCCCCACACTGCTGTGTGTCTGTGGGTCACACATGTATGTTCTCTGGCTGATCCTTTCCCCTTCTTTCATCTGTCCCCCAACCCCACATTTCTATGCCTCAATTTCTGTTTTATTTGTCAGTTTATTTTGTTCATTAGATTCCACATGAGTGAGATCATATGGTATTCGTCTTTCTCTGACTACCTTATTTCACTTAACATAATGTTCGCCAGGTCCATCCATGCTATCATAAAAGGTAACAGTTTCTCTCTCTCTCTTTTTTACAGCTGTGTAGTACATTCTACTGTATTTCTATCAATGAGAAAACTCAACTACTTCAAAGCAGTTGTAGTTTGTTCTACGTGTATGGCTCCTTCTCTCCTGGGCCGTCTTCATGGCTGTCCATTGAAGTCATTCATAAGATAAGTAGAACTTTGACACAGAAATGTGAATATTGAAGTTAGTACTAAGTAGTGGCAATGATCTCTTAACGGGGTTCTTCTTTAAGTATTCCAAATGGAAAGCAATAATAATATACAGGATATCCAATATTTTCCTCTAGGGACCAAAATTTAGAAAAGTTCTTTATTTTCTTTGAAACAAGAAGTTAGAAGCAGCATGAAATGATATGCCTCAAACATTCTTCATAGTTGAAAATGTGCCAAACTTATTGTTTTGGCAGTCCAGTAGGATAAAGGAAAAATGTTATAATTTGGTAGCTTGCAGAGAGTGCCCCTTGAAGAACTAATATAGTTTACAAAATTTTTGTATTTGGTGTCATAATGGTTAGAAATATTTTGCTGCTCTTCTGGAAGATATGTATTCTGTATTCTTCCGACTACATCCAGTTTTCCAAGGAGCCCAGAATCTTAAAGATTTGGGTGTTTATGATTTTAAGAGTTTATTCTATTTCATTTTTATTGGGCAGCATATAAGTAATATGCACTCGTTCCCATAAATCTGGTAACAACTGCTCATAAGTGTTCATAAAAATAACACGTGTTTTCATGCGAAGAAAATTAAAATGAAAAATTTAGTATTATCTTAATGTTTTATTGGTATATGAAAAAAATTATTTTTGATCACAATTCATTCAGGACTATTTAACTGCCTGTTTGGGGTTGAATTGTGCCCCTTCTCCCCCAGAAAAATATGAAATATGCTAAAGTCTTAATCTGCAGTCCCTCAGCATGTGACCTTATTAAGAAACAGAGGCATAAGCAACGTAAAATGAAGTCATTAAGATGGATCCTAATCTAACACGACAAGTGCCTCATACAAAGGGGAAATTTAGACACAGAGATGGACATGTACAAAGGAAAACGATGTGAAGACACAGAAGGAAGATGCCATTTAAAAGTGGAGAATTAAAGTTATGCATCTACAAGTAAAGGAACACTTACGGCTACGAGAAACCAGAAGACAGGTATGGCAGACTCCCTCCTCTAAAGGTTTCAAAGGGAGCATGGACCTGCCAACGGTGTGGTTTCCTAACACTAGCCTTCAGAACTGTGAGACAATACATTTTTGTTGCTTTAAGCCATTCAGACTGTGGTAGTTTGTAACAGCAACCCTGAGAAACTAATACACTGTCTAGCTTAAAAATGCCCAAGAGGTAATTCCTAGGCTTTATCTGGGCTGGGCATACTTGAACCCACTAAGCAGATCATGTGGAAACTTCTGCTAGTTACAGTAACAGCCCTGCTTTGAAGGACTGGGCCTCCAGCCCTGGCTGGTGTGGCTCAGTGGATTGGGTGTCACCCTGCGAACCAAAGCGTCACCGGTTCAATTCCCAGCCAGGGCACATGCCTGGGTTGTGGGCCAGGTCCCCAGCGGGGGGGGGGGGGTGCATGAGGAGCAACAGCATATTGATGTTTCTCTCTCTTCCCCCTTCCCTTCTTTTCTCTCTAAAAAAAAATTAATAAATAAAATCTTGGACTAGGCCTCAAAATGTCATGGAATTTTTTTCAGATTTATTTTATTTTAGACAGAGGGGAAGGGAGGGAGAAAGAGACAGAGGGGAAGGGAGAGAGAAAGAGAGGGAATGAAACACCAATGTGTAGTTGCCTTTTGGTACCCCCAACTGGGGACCTGACCTGGCCCACTACCCAGGCATGTGCCCTGACTGGGAATCGAACTGGCAACTGTTTGGTTCACAGGCCAGAGCTCAATCCACTTAACCATGCCAGCCAGGGCTAAATGTCATGGACTTTTTAAAATGTGATTTGAAGCTTTACTTATCTAGATCTTTTACAGCATATGGTGTTTTATGTGTCTGTTCATATATCGTCATTTAATATTTTGTTTTGTAGTAAATGAATTAAGATAAAATTATAACATTTGAAATTATTACTTTTGTGAGACCAGCTTCAAAGAAACATACAAAGCATGGGATATCTGTAAAAGTTTGATTCTATCATTAATTTTCCGTGTGAGTTGATACATCTTTCCTTTAGTTTCTCAATCAGTATAACATGCAGAAAAAGAAATGAAAGCGTTAATGAAAATAGGAAGGGTTGTAGACATAATAGGTGATTATAATGACTTGTACTAATCCTGCCCAGCACTTGACATTTGAATGCCATTTTAGCTCTATTAAAACATTCATGATTCCAAAGTGTACACTTATGAAATAAGCCTTAAAACACATTTTCCGTACCTGATCCATATTTAGCTTCTCCACTCTTCTTATTGTTTTTTCATAAATGACATTGTTTCCTGGGAAGAATTGGCCTCCTCTTAGGAATGGAGACAGTGGTTCCTGTGAAGACAGTAAAAACCGTGTTGTGCTTTGCAAGGTGCCTTTTCGGGGAAACGTTAACTTGAGCAAATATCCAGTCTCTAATAAACTCTAAGGCAGTGGAAGACTTCAGCAGAAGAGTGGTCTGATATCCCATTAATGTCTGAGAGAAGTAAGGGAATAGTACGAAAGACAGACTATTTTCTCAAACAGAATAAACTGGCTGTCTCCTCTTACATTTAAGTAGGCCTAACACGGTGTTTCGGGGAAATAAGAAGAGGGCAGAAGAGATAATTTGTTTTCATTCCTAAGGCGGGATATAATGAATTTCCTCTGAGGTACCTGGGCATGAGGTCGACCTCATTTAAATTGAGTTCACTGGCAGGTTTCTCTGTATGCAAAAGAATTCTCGGAGAAATGCAAAATAAACATATGTCAGCACCGGTGAGCAATAAAGTAGGAAGAACTATATTAAATATTTCTTTCCCTGGAACTCCGTCTGGGTACTCTTGAAGTGTATGATTGTTCCTTGTGATTATAATCAAAGCTAAGGCTCTCGGTACAACATATACTTTGAATACTGAAAACAGAGTAGATGTTTTAAGCGCCACTGTATCTCCATGTAATCAACTAAATTGATGTAGCATTATGTTAGAACATGTCAGCTAATGAAATAAAGGCTGGTGACATGTCCACGATCTGAAAGAAAGCAGGGAATGGCTAATAAGAATCAGACTGGGAGTTAGAAATAAATGTAATGTGTATTATATTCCTTTCCCTTCCTTTGGTTTTCATTTGAGACTTTAACTTGTAGGGGAGGAGTTGGGAATTGTTTTATTACAAACCAAAAATAGCACTCATCTATTTTTGTATACAGGGCAACAGTTTACAAAGGGACTGGCCAAGCGTGTTACCAGTTCATGTGTTTTAGAGCCATTGCAAAATCAACAAAAGGTTCTAGCAATTTTGGAGTCTGCTATTGCAAAATATCTTAGAACAACTTAACTGAAACACTGGATGTTGAAAACACAGGACACTCTTGAACCCAAAGATACATCCTTCTTATATTGATGTTTGAATTAAGGATGCTTTAATTAAATGTCCTTGGGATACTTTGGTAAAAAAGCCTATGTGATTAAGTTTGACTAGCTGATGAATTAATAAAAGTAAAAATGAATGTATTTAGAGAAATTCTCCTAGAAGCTATTTTGTATCTGTTTTTTGGGGGGGAAAAAAGCTCCTTTGATACTTATTTGTAATCATGTAACATGCTTAAGAGTTTAAAAATATACAAAAGTAGAGTTTATATCTGTTTTGAATACCACATAGAGAATGAACAGATGATTAGACCAAAAGGGATGAGCTGAATATCTCAAGGACGTAGCATCTTCTAACGGGGGGAAAACCAATTTAGCAAAAGCAATGAAATTTTCTTCTCTGTGACCTAAAGTTTACTATAAATGCTGAGTTATTATTAAGAAGAAACATGGGTTAGGTGTTAATTCTCTCAGAAATGAGTGTTGGACTTATTATTTTAAATAACTTACGGGAGAAAATCTTTCAAATTTAGAGGACTATTATTTTCGCAAGATCTATAAGAAGGTAAAAATAAATAGTACTCTGAAGAAATCATTCTGAGTAAATCAGGTTACCAAAATAAATGTAATCTGAAGTCTTAGATTTCTCACAAAGGAGCTTCTGAACAGTTGGACTCTTTTGGCAGCTTATTTTTTCTACCTGTGCATTTGAATTGCTGCCAGATCCACCCTAAAAATTAACAGGTGTTTTCAAAGATGGCTGATCTTATAATTATAATTGTTACTTTTAGGACCTCTGGCAATAGTTCTCACATTTAACAAAGTCCATAATCCGCAACATCTACTCTACTGTTCCCAGGCCACGAAACCTTGCTGGAAAAAAAAAAAAAAGATAGACTCAGGACAAATTCAACTTATCCAGAGTTAGGAGGCCTCCCCAACTCTCATGGTTATACTTGTATTCATCAAATTCTCTATTAACTATGGTTACGAATTATTTTAATTGTCCTCAATCTTCTATGCTCATGTTCCCTCATTGTCCTTCTACTTTGGGTGGAAAGCAAGATAATCTATCCGATGTGGTTACCTCCCTTTCCTCCTCACCTCAAAAATCTCACTTCAGTTTCTGCTCCTTCCATCTCATTACAGTGAAAGACATGCTCCTCTTTTTCCCCTCAGAAGTCACTGCTCTGTCGGTACCTGGAATCCTTTCCTCTCATGTCTCTTCCAGAATCTATCTTATCCCAATTGTCTCCATTCTCTGATACATCTTTAGTCTTGCTTATTACTGGTTTTCTCTCTCTCTCTCTCTCTCTCTCTCTCTCTCTCTCTCTCTCTCTCTCTCTCTCTCTCTCTCTCTCCGAATGTCTCAGATCTCCAAACTTTTATTTTCTCCTTTAGCTACTATCTCCTCTCTCCTTTTGACCAATACCTCCCTTACTTCCTCCCCTTCTGGATCCATTCACCTATTAGCTTTTGGCTTCTGGATTTGCCTCCGCAGGTGGTCTCTCAACTGTCACCACTGCCCTCCTGACGGTCATACTCTATTCTCAAACATCATCCCCCTTGGCCTTTTTGCCACTGGAGACCGTTGACTACCCCCCGCTCTGAATTTGCTCCAGTTACTCTGTGGTCACGTCCCCCTGTGGCAGATCCTCTGCCTGTGGAAGCAACTCTTTCCTTCTGGTCCCTCTACAGGAGGACTTTCCCAAGGTTCTAACCTCAACCCTCCCCATTATTTCACCCACTCCCACAGCGACGGTGATAATTTTGAGAGGAACAACCACCGTGGTTTCTATCCGAAATATGACCTTTCTCCAGGTCATTTTTAACTGCCTGTTGGGCATTTTCCCTCCTACGCACCTCAAGCACCGCTGGTTCAAACAAATATAAAATCTCCCCTTTTCCCAAATCAGCACCCTCTCCTCCTCCCTCCTTCGTCCTTATCGTTGGCCTCTCCCACTGTCTCAGGCTCAAAAGCGTAGGGTCATATATGACTGCTCTTCTTTTAACCCCAAATCCAATATAAGTTAACGAATCTTGTCACAACTGCTCCCAGAATAACTGTCAGAGAAGACAAAGAGTGAAAGATTTGGAGTCAGAAGATCCACGCATGCCGCACTTACTTAAGTTTCAGCCTCCTCATTAGTGAAATAATACTGAGAACACTGTTCATTGTAAAGATACCTTAAATACCACCACAAAATCTTCTGGGATTCCCTCCCCCAAACAAATGCGTTATCTCCAACCTCTAAACCTCAGTGCGACTTCATCTGTATTTCTGTCATGGCATCTATCATACACCTCACCATGTGTTTTATATGCTATTTGTGGCTCTATCTTATTTCCCTTCCTAACAGGAATTGTAAGCGCCTTTGGTTTGGGGACCATGTCTTATTTCCTTTGTTTGTTTGTTTGTCTGTTTGTTTGAAGGCTGTACAGTGTTCTCTCTGCAGCAAGAGAGTCACACTAGAAAATTAATGTAACTGATTAATGTCAATTGGAATCTAGCTACTTGAAGGAACAAAAATATATCCCTCATTTCTGGGTCACGTTATATATCATGATGCATAAGTCTTGTGACTCAAAGGACAATAAATGAAGACTACAGAAGGTCAGGAAACAACCAAAAATAAAAAGACCGAACAAAGGTTGAAGGAATTCATAGCGAGAGAAGTGGAATGAGCTCAGTTTAATTACAGGGAGGAGAAAGAGGATAAAGTTGCCACTTAGGAGGCTCTGCTTGTTATAAATATTGTAATTAAGCCAGAATCTTCTCCTGGGGAAATTTAGAAGAACAAACAAAAAGACATATACTTAAGATAAATAAAATGGAGAATATATCTAGGCAGGATTTTCAAGCTGCTTGGTAAAGCCAATTAGATTATTTTTGTTTATAAAACATCCGATTGAAATTCGCTTTAGTTCTCAAAAATGGAAAGACTTAAAAGTGTTAAAATGATCTTCTTAACCCTCTATTTGGTCTTCTCTGAAAGAGACCATTTGCTTCTTTGTTACACACTTGCATACACGCTTCTAATTTCTCTGTGCTTCTGTTTTCTCACCCTTTTAGGATTAAATGGGATAAAATATGTAAATTGCCTAGCAGAGCGCATATATCCAATAAATATTAATTCTTCCCTTTCCCCATTAACTAAAGAATAATAATTCATCCAAAGTCACATAAGAATCACTGGCAAAGTGGGCTGGAATTCAAATGATTTGATATTTTAAATCTCTCTGTGGATATATGCTCAGCAAACACAGCAATTCTCACATTATGAAAAAAACCCCCACTAAGTAAAATTAATTATTTGAAAGCCAGGGTTATCCAATGAAATATGCATGCAAATATGCACATGTTCCAGTCTGTGTGTGAAAGAGGCACACTCTCATCCTCCAAGTCCTCCCTGTGACCTCCTCTCCCACACGCTTTGCAAATTTTTTGCTTAAACATTTGATTCTGCAAAAGGAGGAGCCAGCAGCTGCTTTGCTGTGATCATAGTCTCTTTTGATATTTACATGGATATATGAAAACTCAGGCAAATGTCTGAAACAGTCGCCCCAAAGCAGAGACTGTACGCTCACAGGTCCTCGCTCTCCCTTTCCCTCTCTCTCTCTCTCTCTCTCTCTCACTCTCTCTCTCTCTCTCTCTCTCTCTCTCTCTCTCTCTCACACACACACACACTCTCTCTCACACACACACACACACACACAGCCTCTCTAGCTAAACAGACATGAGAAAATGACTTTAAAATAGAGAAGAGGCGAGACAGATACACACAGAAGAATAGTGCATCCTCTCTATCTACATAGAATGGTAGCAAGTGTGTTACTCTAATTTAACCTTTTGCTTTCCAGAGCGGAAGCAAATGATCCCATTTATTTTGAGACAAAGGGAAGGATTGTTTCCTGCAATAGTGGAGATTTACAATAAAGAGCAAAGCGAAGCACTGCTGTGTTATTATCTGGGGCACACTGTTTCTATTTGGGAAACTTCTGTCTTTTTTCAAAAAGAGGAACCTCCTTGTTGCTGCTAAAGAAGGGCCATGTGTGTGTGCACGTGTGCCTGCATGTGTGTGTGGTGTGTTTGAGGAAGGCTTACTACTATAGGGGAAAAAGTTTTCTTAATCCTCAAGATTAGACAGATAATACCCTAGTTCATAAAATATAAAGTTATATAGTTTAGAAGAAAATATAATTATGTAATTTTCAAAAGAGCTCATCAATAGGCACCAAAGTTCATACATCATAGGCAACAAAGGCATGGGAACACTTTCAAACGGCATGTCAATGGCCAATGTAAGTAGCCTAAAGGCTCCATTCTCAGATGTAACAACTGATCGGTTTTATGTGAAGCCTATGATAGAACTTTGTCCCTTTTTTCCTTTGGTTCAAAGTGCACAAAAGCCCTCTGGAGCACAAGGGCGGGGCTAGAGAAGCAGAAAGACTTTATAACCCAGGGATTTCCATGCTGCTTGGAACTCTTGCAGCTCTGAGTCAGAAGGTCTGGTTGTTTGGAATTAAAGATGATTAGAAATTAACTTTATGATCAGAAGAAAGTCCAACAATCTGCTTTTAGGCCTATGGTAACTGACTCACACTTCCTGTTTCTACTATGGACTTCTAAGGAATTATAGATTGGGACCAGAGTTGGCGTAACATAGATTACCTGTTCAGGATTTTGTACTATGTATCTCCTAATAGTGGTCTGTGGATATGAAGTGACTTTCACCACTGGAGAATGGAGTTCCTGCGAAGAAAAGATTTTTAAAATGCATGTAATTATAGTTATTTACTGACTTTGGAACCATCAATAATAATGGGGAGCAACTTTCAGATTAAAATTGTTAGTTGTTTGCATAAATGATGACATCTGAATTTGTGTGTTAGTAATTTCAGTTTCAAAAACATATATGAGAGTATCTGTGTATTTGCTGGGTATTTCTATTATATTTGTTTCATGGTAAATCCATCACACATTCTAAACTATATGTGATGAGAGTTTCAAAATATTTCTTTCACTGTAAATGCTCCCACATGATTAGAAAAATATAGCTTAATACTTATTAATCAAATCTTCCCTTTGAAAAGGACATCCTATATTTTTAAAAAATGGAAGGAGATGCATAGAGACACTATGTATGTGCTCATTTGTGTTTGCGTGTTTAAACATCTAAATATTCAGTGTGGTAACATTAAAAAGGAGACAAAACGCTAAAACAGTCACTTGCAAACTCTTGATGGAAAAAGGGTTGATATTGTTCCTACAATGAGAGTTATTATACCTCAATAAGAAAAATATCTTCATGCTCATAGAAAAATGAGCAAACAACGTGAACATTTAAATAGAAGAAAAGCAAATGGTTATTAAGAAAAAGTGGTCCACCAAACCAGGAATCAAATAAACATAACAAACAATACCATATTTTACCTGGAGAAAGTTTGAAACGAATAATGTTGAGATGGTGCAGGAGAAGGAGCACTTTCCCATGGAGAAAGGAAGGATTAAATAACCGCCCATAGGCAGAAATGTGTAGCCATCAACATAACCGTTGTGAGTAATACAAATTTACATGAAAAGAGCGTATAATATTTTATAAGGTTAAGTGAAAATGAAGATATAAAATGGTATATGGTATATTCACAGTCTTTTATTTGAATGGAAGAAAACAACAAAACGTGAAGAGTAGTGTCTGTGGGGAAGGGAGGGGATCGTGAGTGAGTTTTATTTTTCTTCTTTATATCCTTTTAGAGTGCCACAATTCTACAGTAAACACATATTTTTATTGTCAGAAATAATACATATAGTAAACCCAATTGTAAAGCCCTTTTATTATGAAAAATACCACTTAATGCAGTTTTCTTCCTGGATTTAGGCATAGTGAACAATGCTGTGATTTAAGTGGGCTTCTCTGAGCTAATTCTATCTTGGTGGTTCCACAGGGCTCCATTTTTTAACTCAGCTGTGGCCTTTATCCTACTCTCTTGTGTTTTGTCATGTATGTGACCCATGCTGGCCTGTGAGCTCTCTGAGAATACCGGTTGGATCTAACTCATCTTTGTGCAGTATTTGGTGCATAGTCAGCACTAAGCAAATGTTTGCTGGTTAAGTGCATGACTATAACTGACCTAGCTCTGGGTGAGGTCAAATGAGGAAGAATTGGGCAACCTTTTCTTCAAGAATCTTATTTGTTCTACAAAACATCACTTTTTCTCAACTGTACCCAAGTTTACGCCCTGACGCATCATCTGGGAAGGTCTGTCTGCTTAGAACGGCGTCTTCCTCTCTCTTATCCTCCAAATCCCATACACTTTATACTCCCCTCCTACGCAGTAACAAACTTTGGATGGTTTCTATTTTATGTTCTTAGAATTTACTTTTTGAAATATGGTGATTAGCTCATTAAACACATTTTTCTTACTGTGGTATTTAAGTATAGTACCCTTTGAAGATATAATGCCTGGGCTCAAGAATAATCTCACAAGTGGGATTATTAGGTCATAAATACTAAGGAATCGAGATACTTGTGTGTCTTTTAAATCATGAACCGTTGAGAAGGGCTAGTTCTGGCACTATTAGTTATTCTCCCTGAAAGTAAACTTACAGTTCTATCACTCATGCAAGTCATCTTCAATCAGTCCCGGATCTGCGTACTTCATTTGTGCGCAAATCAAGGACCCTTAAAATATACATAATCACAAGGAGATCCTTGGCTAAAAATAAACTGCCCTCATACGAAAAGCAATCAGATTGAGTAGACAATGGCACTGGAAAATTTCAGCCCACAGCAATTATTTCGCCACTTGTTTCTTATTCCCCAATAGGCTGAGCTGATGCTCCTATGTGACAATGCCTCTCTAGTTCTTTGTTCTGGGCATTTTTCAATGTGTAAAACCTTCTGAGGGCCCAAATATTGTTTAAACATGTACGCAAGGCTTATATGAAAAGAAAATAATTGAACACAATCTATAAACTCTTTTACCTGTTCAGTATTTGGAGTTATGTGTAGAGCGCTTGGAGCACAAGTCGATATTTTCAGAGTTGGAGAATGCAGTTCCTGTTGAGAGAAAAAAAAAACCGGGGGGATTCAGAAACTGTTACTGAGTAGTGTCATTTGAATGTCCTCTGTTCTTGAGCTATTATTTTCTTTATTTTTTATAGTAACCCAAATGATCAGAAATGAGAATATTTTATGCTTCCTTAGATAATGTCCATCTATCCAAAGAGCATATTACTGAATTCCTCTCAGCTTTGCCAGTAACATAATGATAACATAATTTTAAAAGTGCTTTCATGATAATGCATTTTTCTATACTTTTAGGTTGTGTTTCTTTTTTTTTTTTATTTTTTGAGAACTCTGCTAATATACACCCCAATGTAGACCATGTCTGCAATTAAAACAAGATGCAAAATTGACCAATCAGAAACATTAAATGTAAAAATTCTCAAACCAATACAGGAAACTCCTTTTGAAATCTCAACTAAAGACTACTGCCCTTATATTCTTTCAAGCTGGCTCATAATTATGCTTTATCTGGTCTACTTCTGCTTTAGTTTCAAAGAATAGGCTCTGATGTTTAAAAAACAGTCCATAAAACTGACAGTATGATTTTAATAATGAGTAGATAAAAGTCATTCTATTGATTATCTTGGCATTCTTTATTTTTTTCTCAAATGAGCAAAGATGCATGACTTTATTAGTGTGCAGAGAATTGATAGCATTACCTAATCTCTTCATACATTACTATAATTTACAACCAATTGATACAACTCCAGGATATATTCCCACAATGACACAAGTATTGTTTTTTCTCTTCAGAACAAGGAGGCTATTAAACGGATACTCGTATGGAAGTACAGTTCTAATGTCAATGTAACATGCTGTTCTTAAAACAGGACTATGTATTTACTTGAACCGCCAAATATACAGCACACTGCGGTTTTTCTTTTGCTTTTCCTTTGGTTCAACTTGTACCATTTTCATTCTCCCTCTCCCTGTTAAATCAAGAGCAATAATGCGAGCTTAATGTTACAAGGAAGCCTTTGGATATGTTCTCAGATGTCTGTTGGTGGCTGGGGAAAAGTGCTGGACATATGCAGATAATTAAAGATAGCAGACCAAACAGGTACGGGTTCCTCAGGTGAGGAAAATGGTTACAAATACAAGCAAGATCAGGTGGGTTTGGCCCCCAGATACAGGAGGAGCGTGTTCCGAGAGATCGGGGGGAAGGGGGTGTTTTCAGTTACGCAATAGTACGTGAACACATTCTAACATAAAATTTTATACAGATCTTCCCCCATGAAGTTCAAGACATTCCCTTAACTATCCTCCCTCCATGCAAATCCCTTACCCAGAAGTAACCATCATTGTCAGATGTATCTTTACATAAGCATATACGTATAAATAATACTATTGGTTGCCTTTATTATTCTGCATTATTTCTTGTTTTATAGATTAGATATATGTCTTAATTCATGATTTTAAATTAACACAAAATGCTCCATAATGTCTGTTTGATACCTTATTTATCAAAGTCTAGATCGTTTCGGGGTCTTCTCTGCCCCTGCCATGAGCATTCTGGTGCAATGTGAGGATTACTCTGAAATCCCACAAAGAAGTGGCATCGCTGAGGCACTTCTGTGTGTGCTATTGGTTTTAACAGATATGACTCAATTCAATTCCCAAATGTCTACATCAATACACACCCACCAGGAGGGAATAAGACTATTCATGTCTGGAGGGTGCGTTTCTGCAAACTTTTACCCTTTTTGGGCCAGAGCTACTGACATTAGGATCACTTCGAGAAGGCGGGACCCGGCACCTGGTAGACATTCTATGGACAGCAGCTCTTCCCACCCCGCTTTAACTAGCTCTGATCTCAGGGCATCATCAAATTAAACAGAATGAAACTCACTAGCCGAGTGGACTAGCTTTTAGGATAAAAGAATGTACTAAGAAGTTTTATAAACTTGCAGAAATAAACACAGGTAGGACCACACACACACACACACACAAAACACACATATCTGTACCTATATCCATATCTATATCTACCTCTATATCACACCTTTAGGACATTTATTTATTGTAGTATAGGCATGGTTACTTTATTCAGATGCCAAGATAGTAAATATGTAAAAGGCAAATTAGTGCATTTGCACAAAGACTAGTCTGCTTCTAAAATAAAACATACGAACTTCTTATATTTAGAGAGCTGCTACATTCATCCCATAGATTATAATTTACTTTATTATGTTGAGTCTTCATTATTATAATTCATACAGGCAAATGTGGCTCACAACCCTCAAAAAAAAAAAAAGGAAAAATGGGGTAGCTACAAAAATTGAAATATTAAGGTGGTAGCTTAATATGTACTAAAGACATTATACATATAATGTTGATCACGGTAAACAGAAATCATATTTGGCTGATTATAAGATGGGGGAAAAAAAAGATCTGAATGTAAAGTTTATTAATCCCAGAAATACTTGCTAAAGATAACTCTCTTCCTTGGAAGTCTACAGAGTTGGGTGAGACAGTCTGAGTAAATGTCCAAAAGGAACATTATCTTGACAACGGAAGGTACCTCAGTGGTATCCAGTTATAGGCAGGATGGCAGGAAGTCATCCACAAATAAGGAAAAATGTTTGTGAATGGAGAGGTCTTAGTTTTAAAGCCACCTCAGGAAGGAAGGTCTAAATCGGCATCTTTTGTTCTTATGCCCTTTGTGCCACGGCCCATTCCTTATAACAAAATAATTACAAGCTGGGGGAGGGGCGATGGTGATTATGATAAAGTTGTAAAAAGAAACCTGGCCATTGAGTCAGAAGCCCTGGGTTCATGTCACCTTCCTGAGCTCCAATTTCCTCCTTTGACGAATAAGATGTGGGTGTGGGTTAGTGTGAATTAGGGAATCTTGAACTCTCCTTTCTATTTCTAACATCCTGTGAAGATGGAGATCATCCCCAACGTATTTTTTCAGAGACAAAACAATTTCAAACCCTATAAACTTGTTGGTCTTGTTTTCTTTTGATGATGATGATAAGGAACACCTATTAAAAGCTTTCTATGCCAAGTCTGTTACACAGATTAGCTTCACATTCCAAACAACCCCATGGGGAAGATACTGCTGTACCCCCAGTTCACATATGAATAAACTTAGTCAAAGATGGGTTAACTAGATGGAGATCACACAGTTAATACTAAAGTGTTGGGGCTGAAACTCAGGTAAAATGACCTCAGACCTCATGCAGCATATAGAGCATATATCATTCCATTTTCTGCTTTTCCAGCTGTGGGCCATAATCCCACTGTTAAATTTGATTTATCCTTATAATAGGAGGCTAGATATCTGTTGTTTTTATTATTTACTGTCAAAGGCAACCTTTGGGTGCCTGAAAACCAGAGATCCACCCGGAAGTGACTGTGAGAGAGAATGGCTCTGATGAAATAATTTAAATTTCTACAAATCCAATAGATTTTTTTCTAAGCTGCATAATAGATTTATAGAGTGTACTCTGAAGCTTCTCAAGTAAAAACAATTAATTTTCATTTAATACTTATATCACGTAAGCCCTTCAGTTTTGCAGGAAAACCCTACTTTTTCTGATAAAATATTCAGTGTATGTTATTTATTCCTACAGCCCAGATTTGCTAAACAGGTAAGTACTGTCTTGTTGGCAGCTCTCTTTAGGCAGAGGTATGGCGAAAATAATTTTGTTTATAATGATGTGGGCTCAGGCTTGGAATAAAGTCCAAGTCTTCTCTTCCCACACTGCCTAAAGTAATGATTTCCAACTTGGGAAAAGTTGTAGTAGCCCTCTTCCTCTTCTTCCTCTTTCTCTTTTGATAAACTAAATATGGCTAATTCTAAGATCAGAGTGGATTAAAAATCAGTCTACACTGGAGAAATAAGGGAAAGCAGAAGCCGGAGAGGTGTTATTGTCTTTTAGGTAGAAAGAAAACCTTAAAAACTTGGGACATACTCTAAATGCCAGGATTATTTCAGTGTAAGACCTTGAAAATCAGAACAGAAACTATTTTTGTCCTCTAATATATTTTTGATACTTTCCACTCTGATAATAGAACATTAGAATGGAAAAAGATACAGTGAGGATAATCATCAAATGATTTGCTGAAACCAAAAAATACAAACTTGTTTAAACTGAAAATATTTTAGTATCTAAGGTTAATCAAGTGAGATAGCTGATACAGTAGAAATATCAAGAGCTGGTTCCTAAACACAGGTTATTCATTAACTAGCTGCTCTGACTTGAAAAAGTTATTTTGAGCTATTTGAGCCTTGATTACTTTATTTGTCCAAGACAAATCATATACAATGCATACTTTTATTTGTACACTGCACAATTTGTACAATGGCCATAATAATAATTTTTCTATTTAACATTTGGAGTCGTAGTGAGTAAATAATATGTGTAAAAGAATTGTGAAAAATCAAACATACCATCTATTACTATGAGGCATTCTTTTTATTGGATTAGTTATATGTGCAAAAAGTTATTTGTTCAATATTTTTTTACGTAATGCTATTGAAAGAGATATAAAAGAAATGTAAGGAACTTACTATGGAAGTTTCAAGGGCTAATAGACAGCTTCGGCCTGGGACAATTTGAGATTTCATCACAAGGTTACCATTGAGGAAAATCTTGAAAATTGGTATGGTTGCAGCAGATCTAGACGGTGAGGCTAGGGGATAGGCTCACTTCAGGTGTAACATGAGCAAATGTGTAATTGTGGAAAATTGGCCACAACATATAACACCAAAATGGGATTTCCGGGATGTAAGTAAGTTCATAGAAGCCAGAGAGTAGAAAGTCAGAGTAAGAAATTTGTAGATAGTGTTTTTGAAGCTTGTGGGGCAGAAGAATATGAGATGTTTGATATGAGATAGGGGGTTTTAAGCAACTTTTCTAGAGAATTTTCTTAGATGTAACCAGATTTGTGAAGGCTTTCATTTTTTGATGGTTATTGCTTTTAATGTGTGTAGTCATGAATGTATTTACAAAAGCGTTTTCCTTTTACTGTACTTCAAACTA